TTCGAGTAGTGTACTAGTAACCAACAGTTGGAAATCCTGTTCCTGAGATTGAGTACACTCCAATATCCGGCCTCGTCGAGCTAGGAGGAAATCCAATAGGTCATTTGAGATGCGTAATATGTTGAGCTTGCTTGGAGTTTAATGTAGTAAATGCTATTACCTTCATCATTGATCAAATATGCACCAACAACGATATGCTTGAGTTGCATTGCATTGTTGATATTCGAGATCTCATAATACACATCAGGTAGATCAACCACAACAGTTGTAAAGCCAGCTCCTGCAGGCATTAGAATATTGAATGTATTTTACCATAAAGAGAAGTATTGATATTAAATTGAGAATTGTACATTTGTACGCTCGCCAAAGCTACTTCACAACTGTTACAGTTAACGCTACTGTTAACAAGCTCGTAGCACAGTGTTGAGCTATACCCGTTATCTATGTACTCCCTTTGTTTCATTCACTTGTTTGTGCGTCACAGACAAGGCGTTCGCAAATCCAATCAATCGTGGCGACTTCCGCACATTCCGCACGGACAAGGCCAGACAATGGCGGGGTCGCAGGTAGGCCGGTAAACGCCTTTGTTGGTGCAATTCCACCCATACGGTCCGCAGGTTGCTGGTTCAGGGCGGACTGGACAGGTGGTAGGACTTTCGGCCACTCCGTGGGCTGCAGCCAATCTCGCTGCACAGTGTTTTCAACGTCCGTACGATGAAGCAGTTCACAACTTTCACGGTTCCATTATCCCAAGGGAAGTGCGGGGTAAGAAAATGGTGGTGCACGCCGAACAGCAGCCGATGGTGCTCACCAAGTCTTCATCACACCAAACAGACCGAACCATTCCATAAAGGCAGCGGCCGTAGCCGTCGCGCTTGCGTGAAACCGGACAAATCCGCTCATGTCGTCTTTGATCACCAAGACGTGCTTCAGTCCGTCCGCCGCTTCAGGAAAGGATACCCAGTCGAAGTGGATCAACTCGTTGGGTTTCGTCGCGTGCAACGCCTCGCCCCACGGACGGGGTACCGACTCAACGTCCACGACCATGCAATGGAGGAACGCCGTGACAAAGTTCTTGACGTTCGTCTTCAACGTCGTCCACTCGAAAACTTCTGATACGGACAACGTAGTCGCCTGAACTCGTCGGTGTCCGGCCGCGCCGACATGAGCCACGACGCAGATACGGGCTTGCATGTCCACGGCGTCATTTGGAAACAATTCTTCTCCGGATTTCAGGTCGCGCACCGTTTGCAGTCCGTATGAGCCCGTTGCAGCTCCGTAATAGGGCCCGCCGTAGGCCATAGGAACGTGTCCGTACGTAAGGGCGAGGCAAATGCCAACTTTCGCATACGGGCGCCTCGAGCCTCCATGGGAACGCTTCCCCAACGGCTGAGCAGATCGGCCCATAAGCTGTCTTCGCCGGCCACATATTCCACCACGTACGGGAACGTAGTCATCGTCAGCGAACGTTGAAGCTTGTGCGCCTGATACTTGACCATGTTGGAGTTCGACCCCAACGGGTTGAACATGTTCACGAGGTTACGGTGATCCCGCCTGGCCGTATGAGGAGGTATTCAAGTACCTTGCAGGACTCCACCACCGCAAACGCCTCCTTCTCCACTATAGGCCACCGTTCGCTCGCGCCACGGAACACTCCACTCAGAAACGCCAACGGCTCGTGCCGCTGGTCGATCGCCGCCAACGCAAGGTCCTCCACCGGTACTTGAGTACCGGTGCCCCCCAATATCCTTCGCTCGCGTTCGCATAGAGGCAAACCATACGGTCAGGGTCTGGGTGGGCCAAAGGCACCATACATTTCAATGTCGACTTGATACGGTCGAAACACGCCTGATGATTGTCACACCAACCGACGGAACGCAACGCCACACGGGTCAACGCGACATCTCGGCCAAGGCGGTCGAGATGTCCATAAGTTTCGTCAACGGGGCCAACAGCTCCGTATACTGAGGGATGTTCGCACGCATGCAGTTCGTAGCACACAGGAACTGTTGGAGGCCCGCGGCCGTCTGTGGCGGCATGCCATCCGCGGAGATCTCCTTTCCGCACCATACGGTCTTCGTCGTGAAGAACGTACACTTGCCCGGATGCAACATGAGACCGTACGTCTGGCATTCGGTCAGAACTTGACGGAGCTAGCAAGTCATCCGTATTGTCGGCGTATCCGAGCAGGTCGTCGAGCCAACCGAGCAGACCGTGCATGAGCATGTCTCCGAACAGCTCGTCCACAACGCCTTGACAGTACGCCACCGCCTCCGACTGGCCCATCAGCACCCGCGTTGAAGTGACAACCCCGACTGGCGTCATGAAAGAGTAGTACTCTTGGAGTCAGGGTGTAAGGGCAGTTGCCAATAAACCTTCATCCTGTCCAGAGTGAAGTACACCGTAGTGCCTTGCAGTACGGACATCGCAACTTCTAAGTTGGGCATCGGCCATGGCATCAGCTCCGTACACGCGTTGATCGGTCTTGAGTCGATCGTCATCCGTAGGTCGCCTGGGTCTTTCTTCGGGACGATACGGGGACGATACGGGGCGGGGCGGTCCAACGTGACCGAGTGTTACGGTACACCAAACCGGCTTCTTCAAGCTCACGTATGTGCTTCTCCTACGTGCTTCTCCAAGCACGCCACATGGGTCGGTGGGTAACGCCGAAGTCCTGACTTCACTGAAAAGGGGCCGGGTTTCAGATGCACCTTCAACGGCTCCACCTTGACCGGAGGATCCCGACCGAACTTCAAACGGAATACGTCCTTGAACTCCACCAGTACTTCTTGTAAGCGCCGTACGGACTTTTGATCCATGCGGCGTCGGCAACTTTGCTCATCAGCACCGTACGGACCGGATCGTCGTCGACTTGCCCGTCTGTGGGGTACGGGTCCGTACCCCAGTCTGGAATCGCGCAGCACATCCCTTCGTCGTCGTCGATGTCGTCCACCAACGTCTCTTCCATACGGAGGGTTCGATGCATCGCCTCACCGGGCGTCGCGATCGACTGGTCGGCAAAGTGCCATTCCCTTGCTGACGACGCGCGTTCTCGAGCAACGTCTTGTCGCATGACCGGCAGGCCTAAGGTCAGTTCCACGCCTGCCACAGATTCGTCGACCCATACGCGCAACCCGCGCAACATCAAGGGTCCACATCCGGGCTTGAATTCCAAACTTCCGAAACGGACTTGTTTGGTCACGACGACCGATGGACTGTCCTCTCCGTACGGCTGTAGGGAAAACGGTCCCATGGTTGTGATCTCTGGCGCAGCACCTGCTGCCAGTAAGGCCGACACGAGGCTACCAGAGGCCACCGACAAGTCAGTTCCGGAGTCGAGCAACGAAGCATTTACGGTCAACACACCTTCTACCGTAGCCACCAATTTGGCACGTTCCGTATGTTCGGGATCCGTTTTCATTATGGCCATACGATGTCCATTTCCACGTCCACCGTCCCTT